CTCTCTCTCTCTTTCTCTCTTCTCTCTCTCTCTCTCCTCTCTTCTCTCTCTCTCTTCGTCTCTCTCTCTCTCTCTCTTCTTCTCCCTCTCCCTTTCTTTCTCTCTTTTTCTTTCTTCTCTATTTAATTTTGCCTTTTTCTGTTTCTCTCTTTCTACTTTGCCTTTTTCTTTTTCTTTTCATTTCCCTGTCTCTCTTTTTCTTTCTCTCTTTTTCTTTGCAGTGCTCCTCTCTCTTCTCTCTCTCTCTCTCTCTCTCTCTTCTCTCTCTCTCTCATCTCTCTCTCTCTCTCTCTCTCTCTCTCTCTCTCTCTCTGTGTGCAATGTGTGTGTGTGTGTGTGTGTGGTTGTTGTGTGCTGTGTGTGTGTGCGTGTGCGTGTGTGTGTGTGTGTGTTTGTCCAGGTGTTCGGCGAAACCGTACCGTCGCCGTATTGATCTTGTATGTTTTCTAGTAAGTGTCTAGTTCTCCTGCTGATGTGAGGATGCTTACTTACGAGAGGGAGAGAGAGGGGATAGGGAGGACAGATTTAAGGGCATTGCAAGGCGTGTGTGTTGGGGGTTGTTAGAACATGCTGTGTCAGCTGCTGATTCAGAAGCGTGGGGTTTGCGAGAGGGAGAGGATAGAGAGGAGGGAGAGGGATTTAGAGAGGGAGGGGGAGGGAAGGGAGGGTTTAGGCGAGGAAAAGAGAGAGGGAGTGGGAGTTGGAGGGGGAAAGAGAGAGAGGGTAGTGGGGAGGGAAAAGAGAGCAGAGGGAAGTGTGGAGGGAAAGAGAGTGAGGAGTGGGGGAAAGAGAGAGAGGGAGGTGGGAGAAAAAGAGAGGAGTGGGAGGGGAAAGAGAGAGAGGGAGTGGGAGGGAAAGAGAGAGAGGGTGGGAGGAAAGAAGAGAGGAGGGGAGGGAAAGAGGAGAGAGGGAGTGGGAGGGAAGAGAGAGAGGGAGTGCGGAGGGAAAGAGAGGAGAGGGAGTGGAGGAGGGAAAGAGAGAGAGGAGTAGGAGGGAAAAGAGGAGACGGAGAGAGATGGGAGGAAAAGAGAGAGAGAGTGGGAGGGAAAGAAGGGAGAGGTGCGGAGGGAAAGCAGAGAGAGATAGGCGAGGAAAGAGAGAGAGAGAGTGGGAGGGAAAGAGAGAGAGAGAGGTTGGGGAGAGGAAAGAGGAGAGAGAGGGTAGGAGGGAAAGAGAGAGAGAGAGAGAGTGGGAGGGGGAAAGATGAGAGTTGGGAGCGGAAAGGAGAGAGAAGAGGAGTGGGAGGGAAAGAGAGAGAGAGAGAAGTGGGAGGGAAAGAGAGAGAGAGAGTGGAGGGAAAGAGAGAGAAGGGAGGAAGGAGGAGACGAGGGAGTGGGAGGGAAAGAGAGAGAGAGAGGAGTGGGAGGGAAAGAGAAGAAGGAGTGGGGGAAGAAGGAGAAGGCGAGGTAAGGGGGAGAGAGAGAGAGAGAGAGAGCACATGCGCGCGTTTTTTATGTTGTTTTTCTATTTTTCTCTGTTCGTGTGCCATTCTATGTGCACATGTAAATATCACGTGGAAATTGAGACAGACAAACAGACTGATAGACAGTTAAAAAGAGATGCTTGTTATTTTATATCCGTTTATACAAATAGATGTTTCGAGAGCAGACGATCTTTCCATATTAAAGTGAGACTTTCGACCGTGATTCAAAAAAAGTGTAAATTGCTGTATTCTGTTTATAGTTGGGATCTGTACCATTCGCCGTTCAGACTGAAGGTAATGCATCAGGTGTGGGTAATATGCCTGGGTTTGAAGGCTGAACGTCAAATTATTTCCACAGCTGCAGAAGACACAACGGGGCTTGCGAGAATTTGCCTCACCGTGCGAATAGGTACAGGCTGGTATTGTTGCAAAAGTGTCTCTCGGATTAGCGGCAATTATGTTTACATTATGATGAAATCGATATCGAGAGAAAATGCAGTCAGCTGGCCCATTGCAGGCATTGCTGTTTGCGAAATTGCCAATTACTATGTATGTCAGAGAGAGAGAGAGAGAGAGAGAGGGAGAGAGAGAGGAGAGAGAGTAGAAAAGGAGAGAAAGGAGGAGAGGAGTAGGGTGGAGAAGAGAACGAAGGTGAAGGAGAAGAGGAAGAACAGGAAGAAGAAGAGGCGGAAGAAAAGGAAAGGGAAGAAAAGGTAGAGGAAGAGGAAGAAGAAGAAGGAAGAAAAGTAAGAGAAAGAGGAAGAAGAGGAAAGAAAAGCAAGAAAATGTCCCAGGTTCCGTCAGATATGCTAATTAGCCGCGCCGCTGTTGTCATCCGTCGTCGGATTGCTTCTTCAGGAGAACTACCCCCCCCCCCCCACCCCCCCTCCCCCACCGTTGTGGAGATTGTCTGTCACTCGGTAGCTATTTACGGGTTGGGTTCGGTGCGGTCGTCGTTCGTCGTCGTCGTCGTCGTTTGTCGTTTGTCGTGTCGGTGGATGCTGTTGTTGCTGTTTCTAAGGCAACCGCATTGCTGAGTCGGTCCTGTAATTCCCGCTGTTCATTTTGCGGCGCGTC